AATACATAATGTAGTTGGAAAAGTAAGTTAAATATTCATTTTTACAAATAAATCTATTGCTCCCCAGTGGCACAGCGGTATGTCTGCGGATTTACAACGCTAGAAACCGGGGTTTCGATACCCGTGGTGGGCAGAGCACTGATAGCCCATTGTGTAGCTTTGTGCTTAATTACAAATAATCACACCGAGCTCTTTTTGGAATCATACAATCTGCTTATGATTAGAATTCTATTGCTTCGAAGCTGGCGTAATTAGGTAAATTTACATGGTAAACAACGAAGTTACTCGGAGTCAGCGGTAAGTTTGAGGGCTTAAATCGTCAAAATTAGAGGTTCGATTCCTGTGGTGTACAGATAGCTCATGATGTAGCTTAGCACTAGAAGACGAACCAAAGATACTGGTGTCAATACGAAATTAAGAAAACATTGTGTGTGCATTAGGACAGATAAAATTCCAACTAGAACTGATAAAACAACAACAATTTGGAATCGCGTGGGTATCTTAAATGATCTGTTAAATTTGGTTCATTTTACTAACTTTATAAATAAAACAAATACGATGTACCCTTTAAATGTATTATCTCACTACAGGGTTCTTCGATAATTTATCTACACGTCTAGCTTGGTTCAAAAGAATAACCCTATTATGTGGTTGCAGGAAAGGTATCCAAGTTGAGTAATTGTACATCAAGAACAAACAGATCTATTTTGAGACTGGTGTACGTACTCCTTTATACGGTATAGCCCTTACCACTCCAATACTGCTTGTATATCAAATAAATATTCACGTCCCATAAACATAGTTTAAAATACTACTCGACCCAAACTTTCGCTTCTACTTCGTACTCGATGTTTTTTTTTTTCACAATGATAAAAAAACTAGTACAGATGCTCTTCTGCTAAAAAAGAAGAACAAAAACTCAATATTTTCCTCTGAACTGTCATGCATTAATTACAACTGAAAAATACGTTTGGTAATATACAGCAAATTAAAAAGCAATAATAGTGAATAAAAGTAAAAACTAAACTTTTGCATATACAATACTTGATTCGCCACTTTCGTCTGGAAATTTTTCACTTGTGTTAACACCCACAATATAAATTCAAGTTTCTTACTTAACATTCTTCGTTCAAAAGAAGCATGTTCATAAATATTTTTCAACATACAACTACATCATTAAACGCCTCTTCTGTCTTTCACAATACGCTTTATATATATAATAATAATATATCTAACTTAAAATCAGAGTAAGCTATATACTTAGAATGAAACGAAAAGTAATCTCGCCAGTATAGCTACACACACTCAAAATTTAATTAAAGAACGCATTAAAATAATGCCTCACCATTTTGCTTATTGACTTTCAGTAACTTGACATAGAATAAAAAATTCATGTTATCTTCATTTAACGTCATCAGAACGCAAGAAACTTGACAGAAAAAGCTACAGATTTACATGGAACGCGACGAATACGTTTTTTTTTTTAAACAGGTTGGAACACTGAGAAATAGCTTCGAAAACGTTGGTCAGCGAATGTCTTGCGACAGTGGTAGGACTACACCTAGGATTTGCTCTAACTTCCAATATGGCAACACGTATTATATTAATTATAACCGTACCTGGGTTTGAAACAAAGCAAAAATCTTACATAAAAAAGTTAAAGTGGGTAAAGAAGCTATGCAACTATATAAAAATGTTAGGTTTTACGCTTTACCATGCTTATACTTTTTTTCCTTCTTCTTTACTTATTTCTATGCAGGAAATATGACGTTTACATCTACGTGAAACAACTATAAAGTTACATCTGAGAAGATTTTTTGAGGTCTGGTTTTCTTGGTGGCGCTGAACCTGGCTATTCCTAATGGCCGTTTTCATCTTTGTATATTAATAAACTTCAAAACAAAAACATCGTCTATATGTAATTCAGTCTCGTTTTTGTATGCAGTTCACTGAATTTCTGATATAACAAACATTTTTTTTTCTTAAAATGGCATCTGGTTACTGCTTTGTATGAGGTGGGAGCTTTAGATAGCAAAAATGTAAAATAGGTTGGAAAAAGAAACAAAAAAAAATATCCCATTAACTGACTGATAAAGTTGCCTTTTTTACCGTTATCATCATATTACTATAAATTTTTATAAACTTCTTAACATTTACTGTTTCATATCGAAAATATGGGCTTTACCCTTTATTTTCAATTACTGTTCATACATGGAAATGTTTGATTATATAAAACAATGACTGAAACAATTTATACTGCAACTTCTTTACTTCCGAGATCAAATTTATAACCATGTCTTAAATTTACGATTGTTCTTTAAGACACTTTCTAAAGAAAGCTTAAATTCTCTACAACTTGAACCCTTTTAAATGTGAAAATAGAACAGGTTTTAGTTATAATAAGTTAGGAGATGTGGTTTAGAAAATACAAACATTTGCGATTTAAATAACAAAACACACTACAGCTCTAAAACAATACTACAGAAAACGTATTATAAAATCCACCAAAGGGAGTTAACGTATTTGATGTGGTGATTTGAGTTGTATGAAATGTGAAATAATTAGAACAGGAATGAGAGTACAAAATCCTATTAAAAATACTGATGATCTGAGAGTGATAACAGGAAAAATTAACAGGTTGTTGAAATCTAAATGTAAAAAGAAACTGCTGCAATCTCAAAGATACACTTGCAATGCAACTTCTCATTGATAAACTGAGATGAGTTCAATATTGTATTGTGAGATTCCGATATGTAGAAGGTTTAAAATGACTACTACAACAAAATGAATACTTTCAATTAAAAAGTTAAAAAAATACTGGCAATAATATTCAATTGGTTAAGAATTTCCTTATCTATCAAAAAAAAAAAAAATCCTCGACTGAATATGCACAAAGAGGAAAACATCAAAACCTCAAGAAAGTACAATGAAACAACAGGAATATATCCCAAGGTTTTGTGAAAGAAAAATGGTATAGGCTCACAAAATTCAAACTGTTCCTTACATATGGAACTAATGATGACACTTATAAAGGATATCCATGGAAGATGTCAGAATAGCATACCTATGAGAATAGAAACACTGAGCAACTTAGAAATCCAAAGTAATATATTAAGAGAACCACAACTTGGATGGTGATAAGATCTTTGATGCAAGACAGCACAAATCTCAGACCAAGTCTTCAAATAAAAGAAAAATAACTGCATAAATGGAACCCCTTACAAAGATAAACTCCCAGTTCCTGTAATTATGAGGTGGTAAATTCAATCACTTGATTAGAGAAAAAAGGGAGTCCAAGAATTAATATAATGAACACTAAAAAAGAAAAAAAATTAGGTGGTTTGATTTTAAGAATTAACAAAGACTGATGTTCTGGGGGAACACCAGGCATAAAATAAGCAAAAAACAGCAGAAGAAACATTAAGATGGTTTTCCTTATGAGATGTCCTTAGATATTTAGAATGAGCACTCAAATTTAAAATGAAAAAAAATCATTTGTAAAGGTTTTAATATAATTTGGAAAAGGTAAAAACATAAAAAATACTTTTCTCATATCAGTGTATAAAAATGTGAAGAAAATGAGGAAGATAAAGGTTCTATGTCTATGTCAAAATTAAACAATTCTCCTTAAAAGTGGCAGAAAATCCAAATAAATGAATGAACAAGTATGGAATAAGCTGCTTGATTGAAAAAAAACAGCATTCAGCAAGGGTGTAAACAGAATGAGAAAACCGTGTGGAATCCAAAAATATATGATTATCTGTAGAAGAATTGGAAGCAGCAGAAAACAAACTGACATTTTCCCCCTGAAACAGCACAGAAGGGAGCATGATAACTTAAGTTGGGGAATAACAAATTTCAAATGGCCACCCTCGAATCCAAAACGTGAAGCACAAATTAGTCCATAACAAAAAGACTGCACAGTAACACAGTTGAATGTTAATTTACAATTTTCTATTGTTGGTTATAGTGTAGTCATTGTCTGAGCATGACCAAACACACAAGGAAGAAGGAATGACCTTAAAAAGAAGCCTGATTCTGAACACAAGAATACAGATATAGATAAATGTCTAGCATAATTATCAAAATGTAGGGGGAAGCTGAGTGTACACATTGACAAGTTACTTCATCTGAAACACGAATTGGAATTAACAAAATCTAAAAGATCCTGACAAACACAAGGTTTAAGAGATATTACATAAAACTAGAAAAGTTATATAATAGATTTTTTAAAAATAAAATTGTACAAACAAACTTTCTGTAATAGTCTGCCAATTATCATTAAAGTATCTGTGTTAAAAATAAGTAAAACACAAGAAGTACAATAAAGTCGAACACAATTAACAACAAAGAACTGAAACATCTTCCAAGGTCAAGTGTACACATGTGAGAGGCATAAGCAATGTGAAAACAAATAAACATACCACACAGATTTCACAGGTGTAAATGGTACTATGATTTATCCTACAGCCCAAAAACGTTTAAATATATAAAATCACAAAAACATTAAAAAATAAGTGCTATAGCAGAAAATAAATACATGGAAATTGACAAAAAAATGGGTATATCACACTCACTTATTTTCACAGTGTAATTCATGCATTTACTCATTAGAAAAAGCAACTTACTAGTAAACTACTGCCTATTACTCAAAACTATTTATTTGATGATGTCATTATTAAGTACACATCTGATTGGTTGGTTGTTTTAGAGCAAAGGCACATTATGCTATCTGCTGTGTCCCTGTATTTCAGCTTTGTAAGTCTATAAACTTACCACTTTCCCACCAGGGGACAAGTATATATATCTGAATGACTTTTAAGGTTGTGCTTGTAAATTTAAGGTTTTGATGAAACCTTAAATTTCGAAAAATACCACATAAAAATTTGTGCCAATCAAAAATTGAAATTTAGTGACTATGAACTAATCCATCACAAAGTTTTTATTTGAGAAATATACAAAGTAAAAAAACAAAATAACAGTAAATGAAGCAAAGAAATAATATTCCACATGACAAATGTATGTATTTTGTGTGATGAAGACACAAACAGATTACGTATATAAATGATACTTTATAATTCTAAAAATGTTTAGAACACTGACACAACATTGCAGATTATTAGCCATAAAAAATATGATTATCAAAATTCTTTCAAAACTGTGTGGTAAAGAATGGGAGTGAACCATAAATGTTAAGTGTCAAAGCTAATCTTAAACGTTTTAGGTTTTTGTTTTAAAACAATAATAATGTTCCATCAACAAAATGTGCAATTGTTATTTGTTTTCAATAACTGTCAAAATATTTGTTAAATGAAGTCATCATAAATCAGTATTTGAAAAAAATCAGTCTATTCAAGCCTTCAAACAAATTTCTATTAAATTACAGGACAGACCTTTCTGAAAATATAAGGAAAATTAAAGAGATTAGTAGGACACCACAGATGACTATAAAGATCTTAAGCATAAACTTTATCAGGTTAAAACATATTGCCCAACTTTCTTGTGTCAATAATATAAAAGACTTTCATTTGACTATTAAACTGAAACCATAAAAAGCAGATATTAAGCAATATACTTATCACACATGCACACTATTCTGCATTGTGTGACATTATCTCTTAAGAGTTATAAATAAATCACTTAACCTCAGTCTGAAGATAACACTTCACAATTATTTATGCATACAAACTGTGGAACACAAATATTCTGCCATTTCTTTGACTTGTATTAAATTGTTAACTTAATTTTGTACAAACTGTAACAAAATTACATGATACATGTTTCTCACAAATTTCAATTTAGGTACTTCTTTATAGTAAATTCTGTGTAAAAACTCTCTAAAGATACAATGAAATAAATGTAATGGTTATTAATTATGTAAAGTTACAGAATAAGCATTTTATTAAACAAAGAGCTAATAATAAGATTATTGTACTATATCTTGGAAAACATTACATAGACACTTATGATACAATTACCCTAACTAAATAATATAAAATAAATGAACAACTCTACACAGTACTTTTCCTTCAATATGCAAATAACAACCATGTATAAGTTACTATAATTTTCATGAATCATCTAAACAAGATATCAGCATATCAAATTATTATAATAATTATCTACATATGTTCATAACTTTTGAATAATTTGTTTTTCAATTATTTAGTCGGGTAAAATGTGCACTGAATAACCAATGTTAGTTTTTCAAATTTAAAATATCACTGCTTTCAATCAATATCCACGTCAAACAATTCACTTCCAGTTTAACATACGATTTCTGTTAATAAGTAGTTTGTTTAGAAAACTATAAATTTCACCTGAAGCCTCTCGCTGGTTCAACACACTAGAAATACCCATCCCTTTTGTTATATATTTCAAAAATTCACACACATTTCAATGTCTCTTTTTTTCTTTAATTCATTCACCATCTAGAAAGACTAGTGACAGAATGAAAGGAATAGCACAATATGCCAAGATCACTCCAAGGTCAGATAATAAAAATACATTAACCTTCACCAGTAAAGTTTAGCAAAGATCAGAGAAGCTTAAATGTTCCTCAGTTACCTTCACTGAGAAAAAACATATCATATGCTAATGAGATGAAACAATGTATGCCTTTATTCAAGTAAGTACATCAAGATAATTTGGTTGATTCCAGTAGTATAAACATAGAAACAATCAGACTCCCATCCAGCCACAAAAATATTGAAATTAAGAATACTTAAAGGGGAAGATAATTTTAGGGATTTTTCAGCCATGTGGAGCATTGGAAATTATAGATGAATAATGATAATAAAAAAATAAACAGGTATACAATTCTCAACATGGATTAAAAGATTACAACTACATGTACAAATGTGTATTAATATTTTTGATGTACACATATGAAAACTTTGTGCAATGCTAAAATTTATTGTACTGAAAAAACACACAAAATTTCTTATTTAAAATACTAAAATATGATTAGAGTTAAAAACTACTAAGAATGCAAACCTTATGGACTTTTACACAATAATTCTACTCTTTCTGAAAGCAAGCTTGAAAACTTTTAGGCTAGAGAAAATACACATAACACATGGCTTTCTTAATGAAAAATTGATAACAATTGATTTAATTTAAATTGTAATTTATAAAAATGGAAATAACTTAGAAAAAACTAATAAGAGCACAATTTTCATTTATATACACATGTACTTATTTTCTTTCACACTGAAAGGATGTCTTAGCTTTCCAAGAGGATTTAGAACTCTTAAGTTTCTTAACTTAGCAAACATATCAAGATGTACTGGATGAAACAGTCTGTCCTTAAACTACCTGGAATCATAGAAGCATGAACTGCAATCCACTTTGATAATGCTCTGTTCATTTTTAAGTAGCAAAACCATTATAAATGGATGCCAAAAGTAGTGAAACTATTTATAAATAAATGTTTATGTCAAAAGTATAATGTATTAAATCTATTAAAGACACATTTAACCTATGATAGAAAAAAATTAATATGTATTTTAACATAATCCATGTTTGTTTCAAGAGGACTTTGTATTAAACTTTGTTCATAAGACTCTAAAGTAACAAAATGGTACAATCATTAGCAACCTCCTTCCATTGTCACAACTTTAAAGCAGATGAACAATAAAAAACTGATCAAAGTAAAACATTCTTTTATTTAATATTTTTATAACAAAAAAAGTACACGATTATAACAACTCACACTGACTAATAACACTTAAATGTACAGTATACTATGCCCAATTGAGAAATCTTAACCAATATCAGTATTTACAAGTTCAGCTAATACACTAAAGAGAATGTCACCCAATAAAGCTTTATGTATATTTAGTAAAGAATATCATATTGGTGTAGGTTTAATTCATTTTATCACTTGTACACTATTTTATTGTGAATGTGGTTGATATTATCTAGTTTTTCCAGCACAGGACTTCCTAACAACCTTACAATAACAAGAGTAAAAAACTCTCAAGATCTAGCTGTAAAGTTTGACGTTTCTTAGTGAAAGTGTACAAAGATAGACATAAAAACAAAAACAGTACACAAAGTTGACAGTTCAAAAAAGTCCAAAAACAGATAAAAAAGTGGTTATTACATAAGATTATATTTCAAAAGCAACATATGTATTCCAGTTTATACTAAAATTGTGTAACAGTTCGTTGACAGATTTGTTCTACAAGAAAACCCAAATGCTCTTGTGCATAGTTCCTTGATCTTATTAAGACAATTCTGTACGAGAAAAAAAAAGAAAGAAAAAAGAAGCAATCTTGAAGAAGGAGCAAATCCATCAGGAATTTGTAAACTAGACACTAATATTTATGATATTTTCCTGTTGCAGTAAAATACTTTATGATGGCAAGACAAGTGTACAATGGAAACAGATACAATTGAGAATATAAACTTATTGTTTTCAGATAGTTGCACAAAGCTACTCAAAGGCTACCTGTGCTAGCCATCTCTAACTTCATACAGACAGACTAGATGGAAGGCAGGTAGTTGACACCACTCACCAAAAACTCTTAGCCTACTTTTGTCCAAATAGTGGGATTTGACCATCACCCTTACAACACAGCCCCAAATTGTGGAGCAAGACTTTCTTTTTTCTTGCTGTAACAATACACAAATTATGGACCTGCAGATTCATTGTATGAGAACTAGTTTGAAAAGTTTCCTTTCAAGTCTCACAAAAACACCACCATGCAAACACTCACCAGTCAACACATTCTAACCAGAACACTATTTCCTGAATTGTTTTGTAAACAACAATATCTTGTACTTCTATACTAAGTCAACAGAATTATACATTATTAAAAACTGATTTGGTTTTGAGAAGCTTTCTCTAACAACTATCAGATGTTAAATTGCGATGCTTTCCAAGCACGTGATTTTTCTTTACACGTATAAAAGATTTTATGACTGCCGTTCCTACTAGTGTTGGCAGAAGTTAATCCATCATACATAATATATTAAATGTCTCTTTCTCTTTATTATCATCTTCAAGGACAAATACTTAGAATCTTCTGAAAACATTAGTGTTAAAAATATTATACTACATTTATTTTGCATCTTGATATATCTTAGTCATTACTAATGTGGAAGCTACTAAATATAATATACAAATATGAGACTATACAATTTCTGTGTCTATTGGAAGACAATTTACATATTTAATTCATCTAACTTTAAGTATTGTTTTAAATTAAATAGGTATGTATGCACTTATGATTAAAAATAACTGACAAACCAGGAATTTTCTTTCATTTATTGAACTTTTAATTCATTATTCTCTGATGAAAGCATCTGTTATACTCTAACAATTATTTAAACGTTTTAATCTTTACAAAATTCTATTAAGAGTCACCTTAACCAATAAACTGATTTTTCCACCACTTTCTGCAGCATTTCTGAAACTGTGATTTGTAACAGTAATGAGAACAAAAAATATGAAATGATTACAATGAAATAGTTTTAACACATAAATTAGAAAAACATTTCCTCGACATATACCAAAACGAGGTTAATCAATTTGAACTCACACCTAACGTAATCTTTTATAGTACTGTTAATTACTGAATCAGCTGAAGTGCTTATAGTAGTTTCAAAATTTTGGACTTAACACATCTTATGTTTTTTTGTGCCATTTGATTTTTGGTTTTTGTGGAACAGTAACACATTCAGTAGAAGGCTGATTTGGTTCTGCTGGTTTTTCTTGTTGTTTTGTGTTGCTATTACTTTGAGGCAGTGCCCCAGTTAAAAAGTTACTGATATTTTCGAAATTTTCTCCTCCAGTGTTGTGTGTACTTTCTTGGTTTTTAGCCAGTGATACACTAGTAATGTGTTTGCTACCAACAAGTAGAGTTTCAGGTGTTATGGCCAGTGTTTTCTCATCTTCGATTGGTTTAAAGACTTGGCTTGATTTTTCCTCTTCATCATTACTATCTTCTTCATCATTACTGTCTTGATCAAATTCACACTTTTTTTGAACAGGTGACTGCTTCACTACACCTTTTTCTCTTCTGAATAAATTACCAAAAAGAAAAAAAAAATTAAATAATGCTTAACACGATCTTTCCTTATATTCACATTTGAAAACAATATGAACAATTAACCCATCCTATAATTCTATGTTCTTGCCAGAATAATAACAAATTCAGTTTTTAAAAACATTATACTTTATCAAGGAATAAAAATTTAGCAGAATTTATGAAGGTATTGTTTCTTCATTAAAAATTCTAAAGTTAGAAGCTATGAACCCATACACAAATTTCATATGCAGATTACCATGTACAAAATTATACTAAGGATATAATCTAAATACCATAATCATCCAATATTATGTTTCATAACAAGTAATTTTATTAATTCTTTCAAAAAAAGAATCTTCTACGCTTTTGGTAAAAGAACATTAAAATAACTTTGTCAGATGACAACTTTAATTACTTAGACAATCAATTCCAATGTATGCATTAGATTAGAAAGCACTCCTGGTTATTACAAAAAAGAACAGTAAAACAAAATTGAGAATCGAAAATTTATTAGATGCAAAGTAAAGTCACATAACATTTATAAACCGAATTATTTAATGACTCAATGCAATATTAAATAACTCTACCCACTTTTTTTTTTTTGGGATAAAACAAATTTAAATTAGGCGAATATTGCTAGAAGTAGGAATATCTGTTTTTATTAGTGTTTACAACTAGTAAAGTCCAAGGCCTAAAGGTAATTTTGTAGTATCAAAATTCAATAAAACTATGTTTTGCTGTACCATGAAGTTTCCATACTGTAAACAATACCAATGGATTATAGTAAGAGAAGCAATATATGCAACTAGGCCTTTTGAAACAAATAAAGCAAAATTTATAAAACACTTTTTCTTAAAAGAAAATGACAACTACACAAAATATTACTACTTTAGCCAATGGCAAGGGCTAATATACGAGGTTAATACAAGGACAGCTACATTTTTTTTCTTTTTTACTACATGCAGTATTAACATAAGTATATATGTAAAAAAAACAGTGGTATTTTAAATATAAATTCACTTAGACATTACAAGGTTTTTCCTGTAATAAATAGTATATGAAATTTAATAACATAGACCATCCAAATATTCATAGGATCGAGGTCTAAAGAAGCTTAAATAGTCTTCATTTTGGCCATTGTTTTTATTAAGGTTGCCATACACGTACTAGAGTTAATTAACTTAAATGTTTTCTGGTCTAAGGTATAATCAATTTTAAAGCTTTTTTTTTTCCATAGCCAAGCAATATATAGACCATGAGAAGGTTTTAGAAAATAGGGGTCTGGACCGAGTGAACTAAGATTGTGCGAGAGAAATTTTCAAGATATTTATAAAAACAGAGTATGTGCTGACAAAACATATCTATGCAAATGCATAAAGATTTTAATTTTTATGGTGCTTTAAAATGCATCAAAGTATTCAAAATGCATGAGTAATAATAATAAAATTTAATTGATCAATCTGAAAGTAGATTTAAAACCAAAACTTGACTAATTTTTAAACATTAATAATTTAATTTTTTAGAACCCAATACAGGCTTTTGAAAAGTAACATATTCTGAAGTATTTAAAAATTCTAACTTTCAGAGTTCTGTGTTTTTACATCAAAATTACAAAGATCTAAAACAGTTAGTCAGCACATAACTCTAAAATTTGAAACTATAAATACACACTAAAATATTTGTATTTTACTTGTGCATAAGCACAATATTTTCATAGTTATATCCATGACTGGTTCAAAGTAATTACTAAAAACAATTATAGAAAAAGTTAGCTAAATCAATAGCTATATTTTCCTGTAGGTCTATGATATGTAAAACACTTCTTCTTTCAATCTTACCTTTCTCACAAAATGTTAAAGTTGGTTTTATTTTTATCTGGAAAAAATATCTGCACCAGTTTTATTATTACATACTACACTGTATGTAAAAAAGCTTCCAAACAGTACACAACATTTTTGTCTGCAAAAAATAAGTGACTGCAGTATTATTACTTGAAAAGTGAAAGATGCCTGTCTTCTGAGAAATAATTTTGTGACCAGCAACAATAAGTGAGAAGTTCACAGATTTAGCCTTGCTTTTTGTGGAACTACACATACATGCATATCTGTTTGTAAAAAACTATATATCGTCTCAATTTTTTGTCTCTGTAGAACAGTTGAAACAGATTTTACGACTTAGTTTAAATTACTGATAGGTTTCAATCTGTAATAAATACCATCCACGTTTCTTTGTTTTTCTACTAATATTTCAATATCTATAACCAATTGAGTTGCAACTAACTGTTTGGAACAAACTCTAAAATAACCAATGCTACAGTTTTGTAAAAAATAAACAACACAAGAAACAGAATATCTTTCTAAGGATAAAACACTAAGAATCTACATGAACAAAATGCAGTACATAAAATTATTGAACAATTATAAGTAAGTGCCTCAGAAGGTCTTATTATTAATGAGTTTTTTAATGATTTTAGGAAGTTTTCTTACTGGACACCTATTATGGTTCAGTTCAAATAAAACTGTTTAGAAATATCAGTGTTTTTGTGATGTGTTCCTTGAATTTGTTAATCTAAAGAAGACTTTTCTTTGCTAAGAGTGACATAATACATGTACATAAAAAAACTAAGTTTTTAAATTAAATGTTTAATAGAAAGAGTTACAATGTTGAGTAATTTTTTGAAAGTAAAAGAAACAGAGTTTGCAGTAACTTGTAATTCACTTTTGAAGTTATCAATTGCTTATAACTTTCTTGCTTATCTTCCATACCAAAAATTATACATGCTGTTGTAACTTTTCACCTGTTATGTTTAGAGTTTATTACTGCTGAGTTTATGTGTGTGTGTGTTTTATTATAACAAAGCCACATTGGGCTATCTGCTGTGTCAACCGAGGGGAATCAAACCCCTGATTTTAGCATTATAAATACGAAGACTCACAGGGGATTTAAGTTTATGAAACAGCCAGTTGTGCAGTAATGTACCAAAATAAGTAGTATGTCAGAGAAAATTAGCTGCTTTAAAAACGTTTTCATTACTTTTGTTTTAACCATTTCAACAAAACTTTTAATTTCACAGTAACATTACAGAGTACTGAATTATTCTATTTTATTACTTGACAAATGTTTTGATTAGCAATTGCAATATTTGATTTCTGATCTTGTTTTACAAAATGTCATTCTAAATAAAATCACAAAATGAGATTTAACATTTCATATACAAAAAATAAAATTAATTAATTAATAAAAATCCTTAAAATATTTTATGTTATCATAACATCTTCCAGTTTAAATGGTTTTGTTAGACTTTTGTGATGCAGAGCTCATATTTACATATAACAGTGTCATCTTTCTACATTCATTAACACAACAATTATCCAAGTTACAGAAGCAAAATCTAAATTTTGAAAACTGGAAAAGTTAACATTTCCCTTACCTGAAAATGTACTTCCAATAGATACTCAACACCACACAAAGAATCAGCTTGATCCATTGTACACCTGTCTATGAGATTTGCATGACACTAACCTTGAGCTAATTCCCACCTAAAAAACATGTATTTAACATGAACAGTGCTGGTGCATGTTGACATCATCATGTGATTGTAGCCCTCTATCAATAGAAGAACATCATAATTTCTTTACGCAGTAGCTCCCCAAGCACTTGTGCTCGAAATAACTTCATTCTTAGACAATGCATGAAGAAAGTGCACTGAAAGTGGGGAGGACTGTGAAAGTATTTATTGCAAATACATTTTCAGGTTAAAAAAATGGTAACTTACGAGACATTACCTCACCTCCATACTCAGAATAGCTAGAATCCCATACAGAAATAGTGGAAGGGCTGGTGTAAACATTAAACATAGATGAGCTCTTTTTGGAAAGCTCCCAAAGGGAAAAACTCATGGAGTGTGACACCTGATGGCAGGGACTCCATAGGGGCACACCCATGGGAGACCACATTTCCTCTAGACCAGGGTATACTCTTCACCTGAAAGGAAAGAGAGGGAAGGTCAAAGAAGCCACAAGTGTTGCAGAAATGGACAGACTTTTTGTATGATCAACCACGCACCCACACACAAGTGGTCAGCAGGCCAAGAAGTGTAATGTGGTTAGGATATGATCAGGCTGTACAGTGTATGTCTGACCTCGATTCAACTTAACAGGCAGGGTGAGGGGTGGCAAATCTGTCCTGCTGCAGAAAGAGAGCACACAAGCTATTTGAGTGGTGACCCACACTACACAGACAGTACCAACACTGCACTACTTCCCACCATATTGTCATGTAAACGATAAGTGAGAAACTCTCCAAGGTTTACCACTCAAGTGGCTAGGAACTGGTAAGTGGCAAGGGTATCCTGTGCTCCTCTTGAAGAAGAAGGGAGAATTTGTGTTAGGGAGGCCCAGAGTGTGCCCAAATTTTTATTGGATGCCTGCCAGAAAGGTCTTTTGCTGGAGACAGTACAATGGGTGACTATGAAAGTCAATTTAAAAGATAGCAAAAAATGGGCAGTCACTTCCTTGGTGCTAGCTTTTTACATGATAGTCCATGAAAGGTACAGTCTGAATTGGGCAACTGAGTAATTATAATACCATGATGACACCTCTAATGGTTTTGTAGAACACTGGAACATCCAATCCTGATCGATGAAAGAAAGAAAAGGACAAGAGTAATGACATGGTTTAGGGGGAAATATCCTCTTGATCACATTCTCAGCCAAGAGATTTGAGACCATATCCTTAAAACACTGAAGATAAAGAGGAATCAAGGAGTATGCAAGGAAATGGAAAAGTGGATAGGAGAAGAGTTGAAGTGGAGAGATAAGCTGTTAGTGAGAACAGAAGAATCCATCTGTCAGACAAAAATGGAGACCAAAGGCAAGCATAGAGAGAGACAGATGGGTCCATGCAGGGTCATAAAGATCATGAAGATAAGCATGAGAGAGGCATACATTAGCTAGGAGAGCATCTTATTCCAACAGCATAGGAACCAAGTAA